CTACTTACATTCACAATAATAATAATAATGCTACTACAAATAATAATAATAATAAGTATATTTCTTATCAAGTTCAAGTGGGTGTGGAACGATAGGATGAATTCCGTAAGTGTTCCTTCTTGAGCGGGTCGTCGATTCAGGAGTTGATAGGGGTGCTCCGACTTCTTGATGGGTCTAAAACGTAAACATCCGAAAACACACCCTGGTCCACCAATTTGATGCCCACGTTCCTTACATTAGCTGTCCCTGCTATGTCAGTTACGTGAAGTAAGTAAGAGAGGAAGAAAAATCGAAGGTAAGAGAGTAAGGGAAATCAGTTAAAAGAAGAGAACAATACCAATGGCGAGGAAAAGTAAAGAAAATAGAATCGAAGTATGAAGATGGGAATTAGTCAGGTAAAAGGAAAGGTTTCATGTTGCCACTCAAGAGCGTCTAGTTGACGCTCAAACCCTTTAACCGTAGCTTCCTTGACAACATTTTCTGGAAGCAGGTTTCAGCGCTCGATGACTCGACGCGATAAGCGTGTCTCCGCTCTAACTCGATCGGACCGCGGTTTGTCCAGCTTCATACAATGCCCGCGGAGACCAGATAATCTAGCAGGACTAAATAGCCAGGACAAATCAGGGCCAACCTTCCCAGTAAAAGACGGTAGGTTAAGATTAGGTCCCCTCTAATCCTTCGATAGTGCATTGAATGCATCCCCAAACTAAGTAGGCGTTCGGGGTACGTTTGTCATCGTAACCCCTTGATCAACCTAGTACCGACACGCAACACCCTTTCTAGTGCCATTTTGTCCCGGACAAGGCATGGTGGACAGGTCTGGACGCAATATTCTAGGTGGGGTCGCACAAACGCTGAGAAGTGCTTCACAAACACACCAGCGGTTAGAGTCCCGAAAGAACGACAGATAAACCACAACATCCTGAACCCTTTACCAACCGCCTTATCGAGTGAGAACCTATGGCCATATTTAGCACAGATCATATTATACAGAATATGTTATGCTCATGCATGAATGGAAGACATTTATGTGATTTTCATTACCTTTGTTGTTTCAAGGGTTTGTATTAACTCACAGGTGTGTTTCAACGCAATGGGCACTATTTGCAATGGTAGATGGTTACAGCACTAGGGATGGTGTGCAGAAGCAACAGGTTATGTCTCAATGTTCACAGTCAGAGCGGATCGAGCTGGAATTGTTGGCAACGCTCCCGATAGTTTTAGTGAATATTTTGCCTAGCAGACTTTTGGTAAACGACATTTGTATGCGTTCCTGACATATTCAATCAGATTTTCTCATAACGTCACAAATGACACTGCAGTATTCCAAAAGGGGGCGAGTGAGGATTTGGAAGAGTTCCACGCTGGCTGCGGTTATGTGGATCTTATGCAGTATATTATCCATTGATTTTTGAACCTTAGCCAGCTGGTATTTCATTTGTTCGGAAAAGTTGAAGGTGCAAGAATACCAGATTCCAAGGTCGCGGGTAGACAGCTGTACACAAAGGTGTTTGTCCTTGATTGTAACTGACCGCTCGGTTATCGAATAGTCACGATACATAGTGCTAGATATTTTCAACGAGAACTTCATCATCCAGGTGTCACAACATTTCTCCAGGGAGTGGAGATTTTCCTGTATGAACAATAGTGTATCTTGAAGTTCAACTCTTCGGAATTTGTAGACTATCTTTATGTCATTTGCAAATAGAAAAAGCATCTCATGTCTGATAACTGTGCTGAGGCCATTGACGTAGAGCAAGAGCAGTAACGGATCAAGTTCACTTCCCCTAGATAACACCACTAGTGATTGGACGAGGTGAAGAGTGGTGGTCGGTTATGGTGACTACCTGAGAACGGCCGCTCAGTAATGACAATAGCCAACGTGGGAGTAGGTCCTGAATTATAAAGGAAGCAATCTTTTACAGCAGCCGTTTGTGGCACACTCGATCGAATGCCTTTCCATATCCAGAAACAGAAGTATGGTTGCGTATCACGAGTCAATAGAACCCGAAACATGGTTTAAATAATGTAACTAACATGTTATGCACGATCGTTTGTCCTCTTGGACATGCTGGAGCCTATCGATTAGCTCCAGCAAATCGATGAATTTCATCACACTATAACCAGTTTCTCTAATATGCTGGCCACTACTGGGGTGTGGCGGCTAGGTCGGTAATTGGGAATTTCTTGTTTGGAGCCAGCTTTGTGACGGGGGATGTAGGGAGATGTTTTCCACTAGTCTGGAAATTAGCTTGATTCCAACGAAAGGGTAAACATGTACAGCAGAAGTAACGGTATGTCAGGCCCTCCTAGTTTTATGACAGCAAGTGGGATACAATCGGAATCCAGATGGGAAGACTGTCTAAAATTCATTATATATTGGATAGTAATGATAGAAAGTTCGATGTTACACAAATCGTTGGTTGTTTGCACCCCAATACTTGCACTTACCGGGGTCGTCTCCAGGCTTATGGAGGCAGGTAAAGATGAGCTAAACGCTTCGCAGTTATCGGATGGATCATGAAGAGACTGTCCGTTTGCATTAACCAGTCTATCGATCAAGTGGAGTGGTAATTAGTTCTACGACGCAGAAGTTTGGCAAGTTTTTTCGTTTTACATGTCGTTCTTAAAGCTATTTGTTCTCCATGTATTCTCTTCGTCAGCTGTATGTGCTTGACCCTGTCAATGATGTGGTGCAACTGCAAAGGCAAGGTGAAATTTCTCGTCTTGCTGGATCCAGCAATTAGTCTTCTGTGTTTTTCTGGCTGACTGAACACACGAAGGCGTCTTTTTGGACACGTGTGCTCCCCTTGTCTTGGGAAGTAAGAACAACAATGTCTTGGTGGACCCGATGGTAGAAATAGTCCACGGCACTGCACACCTTGTTAGAGAGAGGGAATGCGTCCGAAGCGGATGATCGGATTTGTTGAACTTGATTCCAGTTTATTCTATGGGTTACATATTGCGCAGTAAGGTCTTGTTTGGTGGACAATTTAACGCAGAAAGTGGATCGCACCATCTTGTGGTCGTCAACAAGGGGTTTGTTTAATAACTCCGTGAATATCAGGTCGAGTGTACAGGTCACTCTTTTCGGCTCGGTAACCCACTGTATCCACTCACCAATTGTGAGAGAGGAAAGGAAAGCTGTATGTTTGGACGTGGATGGTTGAGAGGACCAGTTATCCTTTGGTAGGTTGAAATCACCTGTCTATGTGGCATCTCAGCAGCAAATTCAAGTTCAAGTTCAAGTTCAAGCGGGACTGGAACGATAGGATTATCCCATGAGTGTTCCTTCTTCGGCGGGTCGTTGAACCAGGAGTTGGCGAACTTTGAAATACTGATGGACCTAAAACCAAGACCGCATCACACCCTGTCCAACCAATTAATGCCCACGTATCCTGCCCTAGCAGTCCCTGCTGCGTCGGTTAAGTGAAGTAAGAAAGAGAAAAAAGTAAACGCAGAAGGCAAAAGAGAAAGTGGTAAGAGCTAAGCAAGTGGAATACCAAGATATTTGAGTCAATAAAAAAAGAACTGATGGTAACACTCACGGTTGCTGCAGTTTGCGGGTTGTAAACAGATCCGAGTAGAATGTGAGAACCGGTTCCTGAGATGGACAGCCAAAGAGATTCGGGAACATTTGTTAGCTATGGATGAGAAAGAAGTTATGCTGCACATGTACTGTGTGGGTATATCATGCATCCACCTCTTTTGCCTGTTCCGCGCTCTTTTCGGAAGAGCTGATATTTAGGAATCATTTAGGCAGAGTCCAATGTGTCGTGGGAGCACCATGTTTCAGTAACGAGGAGTGCTTGAGAATCCTTGATACACGTAAGCATGCGTAGATGTACAATTTGTTGTTAATAGATCTGGCATTAAGTTGAAGTATAGATAACGGACTATTGGGTGTGGGGTTATCGTGTTGTGGTTCTTTGTTATACTCGTCATTGTATTCGGGTACTATGAACGCAAGAGTTATGTGGGGGATTAGTGGGGTCGGGTTTATTCTTAACGGGCGTGGTGACATGGGTATTATGTCATTTGTGATTGCCGATATTGCTGTGGACATGGAGATCGTTGAGGGAGGCAGTCTAATTTGCGGTCGGCGTGTGCTAGCTGGCTAGCCGAGTCATCTGCAAAATTGCACGAACAGTGGGAACAGGTAGTTGGCTTCCGCCGGGAATGTAAGGAGTGGGAATGGCCGCGGCTCCATTCCCTCCTGTATAAAAATGGGTCGATTGAGGGATGCTAGGAAGGACCGCTCACAAATCAGACGGGATTGGAGTTGGCCATGGTTTCGTGACATGCTTTATTCTATCATTACTAAGCTTATTTTTGTGTTATGGAAGGGAATTATGGCGAGGGATATCCAAAAGACATTTGTTTCTGATTTTTGTCGGCTCAGGATGTCGCTTTATATAATGTTCTTGTGACGTGTGTCGGTAGATTTTATTAGTTTCTACCATGTTCATCACAGGTTTAAAGCTATTGTCGGAACTCGTGAGTGGCTGTGGATTTTCTACATTCTTGTATTGACTGCCCATGGAGGTCCTTTGAGCGTTAACTTCAGCTGGTGACGCTGTCATGGGGACCTTGCTAATCTGCTCTTCCCTCAATTTAGGAGCTACTCCATCACTTTTAAGTGGTGAATTCAATTCAGTTGTTTTAAAGGTGTCAAGATTGAGGTGGTAGTTGGTAGGAGTTTGCTTAGATGACATTGCAGTATCGTCAAGAACAGTGGTGACCGAGGTCCTTATCCTATGAGGTGAGCTGTCGAGATCCACTTCAAAGTGCCTAGTTGCCACATTAGCTAAGTTTCCTTTATGAGCTTTGGTCGTAGAACACTTAACCCAACGACCCGTTTAAGCTGGTGGTTGTGACGAGATACCACTACACGACAAAGTTCTCATCTACTACATATTTGCTAAAAAGTTAGCGTTTTCAGTCAAACTGTTTAATGATTTTATAACCGAGTGGTGATGGTCTTTCTGCATAAATTTCAGAGTTCAAATACACCGAAATATTTCGTGTTTGGGAGACTGAGATGGCCGCTAAACCTTTGGTGTCGCAGCGATTCGAATTTTTCGTCGCGTTGGCGCTCATTCAAACATACAGAGAAGTGATCATTCACGCACACATGGAATTTACTGATATCTTAAAGTTTTTCAGCGGTTAGTATTGTGTTTGCTAAACTCCCCATCATCGTTTATAGAAAGAGCCGAAAAACATGATGTGAACAAAATCTTGGCGCTCTCACGCGCTTTTGTCACGGAGGTACGTCATCTGCTGCACTGACCAGACTCAACAATGTCTGTTGTTTTGTGATACGCGTTTGTCTCCGATTTGTAAAAGTTTCTTATGTCTTCGTTTGTCTCCTGTCCAGTATCCCATATATATTTTTAAAAGTATGAACCAGTTGCTGCGATCTACTTACTTTGAGGGGCAGGTAGGTAAAACATCAAGTGGGGCACAACTTACTGTATGTCCCGTCGATCCGGCGACAATAACCAAAGCTTCATAGGAGCTAGAAAGCTTGTGACACTCATTTCCAGAGCGTGCAGTACTATGAATGCGAACAGTCGCAAGACACTTATATCCAGAAACTGGACTTACGTGGCCTACCTTGCGCCGGATACACTCCTGTAATCTTGTGTAAACCCAAAGAAACTAGGATGCCGGCAAGTTGACGGGAACCACGATTGACCTGGAATCGACTCACACTTTTTCAGCTCACACTTGACTGATGTTAAACAGGAGTACGAACGGTCGGGTTGGAATCAACCGTTGAGTTCTGCGCTGTTCCAATGAATATGCACCGTGTATTTTCCTGCAATGATTAGAAGTCTCCATGACCAAATGTTGGGGGTGGGATCATCAGACGTCAATAAGTTCCACGGGGCACAGCCATACCCAGTATATCATGCGGTAGAGAATGATCGATATGCGACAACTCATGGTGGAAAGTTACCCAGCAACAGCGGCAGTGCAGTACCATCTGTAGTGCTCTGCAATGCCATGCCTGAAACAGCGCGAATGAAAACCATTAACCACATCTTAAACTGACTGGAACATGAAACATACTTAGAAAATTAACATTTAACATTTAACATTTACACTGTTTACACGGCCAATTCCAAAGTGACCACCTGGCTCAATAGCCGCATCAAAAATAGACTATAGTTGAGCACATTAGACTGCACCACACGTCTTACTTCGCACTTGCCATGTGGGGAGTGGAGTGAGTGTAGTATGTGGTGCACTTTGTCTTAGACTTGTTCAACACACACAAACATTTCACCATAGTCAGAGGTGAAAGACGGCAGCAGTCGTTATAACAAGGATGCAATGAATCCAGCAGGCGAAGAATGTCACCATAAGAGAGTCAGAGTTGGGAATCTAAGGTGTTTACGCGCGAGCAAAAGCCTCATCTACTGCGGCCAATCTTTGTCACTGCGAACGGATAATACTCATGGTGGCGAGCAACGTTCAGAAAATCAGATTGTATCAATGGACAAAATAAACTAATGAAGCTCTATTATATTTCGCGTAAGGTTGTGATTATGGCAGAAATGATAAGCCGTAAAAATTAGTGGCATAGGATATCCTGCGGACATACGCATAAGCGGATGCGGTTATGCCCCAGTGCAGAATGAGGAACGGCGGATCAATAGTCAATCGTTTGCCTTTAACTATACGGGAAGTTCATATATAACAGATTGAAGTAACTGTCAGTACGCTACATGACACCGAGTTCATCGGGGACCCCACATCACATGCGCAACAATTTCTGGTAGTTCTAGACTTCTTTGCGTGCTACCAATGGGAAACACCTGCTCCGTGTGTCCTCTTGCTTGGGGGATCGAATATAACTAACTAAGGAGTGCAGCAAATACCGGTCCCTTTCATGCAGCCATTCTCCTTCATAAATTTTGGGAGAGTAAGAATGAACATCTCTGCAGGATGATCTGTCTGTAAGCGGCTGCTTGAGAATACACGAACTAATCTGAATTCAGGTTATCGCACACAAATGGTATTCGTTCTTACCGGCCCTTTTATTTTGCCAATTGGGAGCCCAGTCCAGATCACCTTGTAGTACCATGTGGTCATTTACCGTCCTGATAGTCCACCAGGTTTTGTAATCGTCCCCGGAGAGTAACACATTTAAATCGATCACTTCCACAAGATCGTTAAAGAAGACAAGGAAAAGCCTTGCTGCTATAACCTAGCCTTAGGGGATGTCAACTTTATCGCGTCAGATAAATCGTTACAACTCACACGTTTAGGCAACGCTGAAGTAGGAATGTATGTATCCAACCCAGGATGGGTGGCTAATTCTACAGCTCTGAAGTTTGAGAAGGAAAATGTTGTGTTTAAGAGGAGCAGACGCTTTCAAAAATCGAGGTACAGAGCGTCAACACCCTCCTCAACGTCGACAGATTCAGTTCACCTGGCACAGACTACTTAGAGGTTCGAGGTACATAAACGGTTTCGGCGGAAACCGTGTTGCTGTGGTAAGATGATATTCCATATTTCCAAGTATTCCACGAGGGCCTGCGCAATAGCGGATTCCATGGCCTTAGAAGAACTGAGAGAAGAGTTATCGGGCAATAGTTCGTCGGTTCAGCACCGTTGACCCCCTGTAACTGGGAGTGACTTATCCGTGCTCCGAACTGGCCGGGACATACATGTTTCTAAATAAGGTCGGAATAACCGTGACAACGATTCAGCCAAGCTGTTGGGCGCAACTTTTAATAACCTTGAGTATAAGTTGTCCGCACCGGAGGAACTTTGCATACGCAACGACATCATTCGCTTCCGTACGTAAATGAGATGTGGCTAAGTCCTGGTGGTGGTGGGATCGGTGCAAGACTTGTAGGGGATGTCAGTGTGAGTTCTGGAAATTACAGCTGAATCCTTGTCTATGAGTGTTGGCTGCTACTTGCGTGGTGTTCAGACATGTGCTACCACGTTGTACTTTGCGGAGCGTGACATGCCTGTAAAGTAGCTTGGGGTTTGGGTAGTATATCTTCGCTAAAGCCCGTGGATTATTCAGTTTATCCACTTGAATCAGGCTGACACAAAGCTACCATGCGGTTATGTATAAGTTATCCGGTCCTCGGCATTCGGATTGGCTTTGAATACTTGCCAAAGTGAACCTCTCAAACATGTTTCCGCGTGCGACTCCTCAGAAGGGACTTTACCAATTTTGTGTTCCATTTCCAAGCCTCTGATGCGTTTGTTACCAGCTTGCTGAACAGGTTGATGAATTTCTCCTAACCGACGTCAGGGGCTTGGTCAGCTCTGAACAACCAAGCATTGGCCTTAATCTAGACGGACAGCATATCATAGTGCGTTACCATACGAATTTCTTCGTTGTCCCCGTTGGAGTGCTCTGCATAACAGACATATTGGAAAAGCAGTGTCGCATGATCACTGCGTCCCAACGGGCTGCTCACTGTTACTGTGTCGTTCGTGTTCCTCATTGGTAAACACAAGGTCAAAGATGGCCGGTTTGTTCCCTGTTCTCACTCTCATATAATGTGATTATAAAGTGGCAGGCCAGCCCCTAGCTCTTGCAGTTCTGCTTGAAGCTGCTCACTGAGGGTGGCTGGAACCTCGAAAACATACAAATTGAAATCTCCTACAAGAACGTGACTGTAGGACTGTGCCAAAACGGTCTTAAAAGCGTTGGCTAGACAGTTGTCCATTTTTACAGTTGACATCGGGGGACGGTATACGATGGTCACTAAACATATGTCGAGATGTCTGCGTTGCAAGCGGCACTAAAGCAAGTCAACAAGTGGATTTTATAGGTTATTAACGGGTTTGAAATGCAGGTCACTGCGATGGTACGAAAGGACGCCTCCTCATCTACTTGGCTGATCATTTCGTTGGACGGATTTGTCTGGTAAGGCGATGTTGGCATCAGATTTCGTTGTTGAGCCAGATTTCGGATGTCATGATCTTGTCCCAGGGCACCGAAGCTCGGCGGCGATGAAGCTCAGGAAACCTGCTGAGGAGGTCATATGCATTAGTGTAAAAACAGGATAGTGTTTCAAATGTCAGAAGCGTGTTTGGAGGCGTGGGCGTCAGGTGAGATTGTAAGGAGACCTTTTGAGGTCCGCAACTGATCACTTTTTGGGTGAACTAATGATATTGGACTTTGAGCCTCTTCATGTCGGCTGATAGATATATCATGTGATAAACTTCCGGTTAAAGGGCTCATTGGCATGTCGTTACTCCTGTGAGAGCCTATCGTGGACCACAGCTATACGACTCAAAAGCAAACTTTGCTGGGGTAGTTGACAAATCACGGTGTTTTCATTCTGCTTTGGCGTACTGGGGTCTGGTGTTAAACGCCTTTATGCAAATCTCCGATGGACGCTTGTTACGACACATGCGACATATCTAGAGTGCTTCTTCCTCCATTCATTTGGAGTGAATCGCAACTTTCAACACATTGTGGCTACATCCTTGGTAGTTTGATAATGATGGCAGCCTTGAGATCGATTTGGCTATCCCATTGTGGCGTGAGAGCACTACACGTGTGTGAGACCACTCTTCCCAGTCATGGGATTGGGCTCCGGGTGGATCCAAAGCCTGAAGCTCCGGAACACCATGAATAAATGACGATGTTTCGTTCGTCAGCTGGTGTTGGTCATCCATGTTCGCTTTTCTTCGCTGGCGTTTGCTCCAAGAAACCTCCGGAAAAGTACGAACACCGCAGATTATAGTCCAAAGACGAGTGGATGGCAGAAAAACGGCCTCAACGTTGTCCGCTGATTATAGCGTCACAGATAAGAGCCGTGATTTAACGTAGTGTGTGGGGGGTTGGATGCCGTACGACGCGCACCATGCCGGTCGGTTCCGTGTGGACGTCTACTAGGCAGTATACGAATCCCTGCTGTTTTCTGTCGTCCACCAGCTTACCTTTTATGGAGTTTGCACTAGGTTCAGGGACGTCGGAACATACAGTTGCCAGTGACTCGTGGGCTTGTCTAAAGATGGCCGATTTGGAAGAGGCTGTAGTCTGAGTTGTTGATGGTTTGATTTGCGCATTTGTGGTACTTTTGGCGTTTTGTGTTTTAGCATCTGGTATACACGCAGGTTTTACCCCTTGTGCGTGAGCTGATGAAACGGTGGCATAGGAAGCGACGCCTTCGGCGGTCAAGGAGTAGTTCCGGTGTAGAATAGGCCACAGGCTTGCTATCACGTATCAGCTCTTAAGCTGTGGTGGGAGTCGTCGGAGTATGTGTGTTTGTCCGATTTCGAGTTATGATTACAGTTGTCGACGT